GGGAAATGGAAATGGGAAAGTGGAAATAAGGAAAAACCTATAATTTTTCAAATTTTCTGAGAACTCAATCAAACCAGCATCCTTCCCCCAAACAACAACAAAACAAACACAAATAAAGTTATTGGTAAATGAGTCAATTTATATTTCTTGGAATTATAACTATAAAAATAGAATGATTAGCAGTTGTATTTTCTATCAGTGGTCCCTATATTCAGGTTACCTTGGCAACAGTTTGCAGTGTTTGCCAGGCATAGGTTTCTTGATTCCCCATCCCAATCATAACAAAGACCACTGGTTAAAGAACCAGTGTAGTTAATCTCAGGATTGAGAAGAGGGTGACTGTATGGGAAATTATACTTCTACACCAGCTCACAGCCTAGATAGTACAGAGCCAATATTCAGATTTATGTGGGGGTGGGCTGGAGGACTGGCTTGGTGGTTAAGATCACTTGCTGCTCTAGTAGAGGACCAGAGTTCCCAACATCCATGTGGAATGTCTCACAGCTACTTGTAACTCCGGCTCTAGGAGACCCAACACCCACTTCTGGCTACTGGGGCATCTACTCATGTGTGGCATATACTCACATAGACACACAAGACATATGAATGAAAATATATAACAAAAACTTGAGTCCCTTTACATGGATACATATGCCAGAGTATGGAAAAAGTGACTTCCAATGACCCCTTTGTGAGAGACACCCTCGGGTCCTTGACCATCATGGAGCCGTATATTCCTGACGGTACCCGATCTCCACGCCTACCTGAAGATGCCCAGGATGCAAAAGCTGTTAATTAACCATCCAGGTTGACGTTAAGACCCTCAGAATCCAAACAGTGAAAGGAGAAAAATCTATCCCCCAAATTGTCCTCTGATTTCCACACAGACATTGAAATGTGTGTGTGCATGTAAACACAGAGAATTAATTAATTAGTTAATTAAACTCTTTCACCAGACCCATGAGGGAAAAAAAGAGGTTGAAAGGAGACAACCGGGTTGATCTAGAACCGTTAACCCCATTCAGCAGTTCTGGTTCAGAAAACACTTGAAAAAGATCACAGCTCTTGAGCAGGTAAGTTTGATGCTGTGACCGCTTGGCCTGTGAGATCTTGCTGCTCACTCTCTACGAGCAAAGGCCCCCACAGTGACCATGCCACAGTGACAGCCTTTTCCCAAGCCAAACCAACTCTTCTCTCTTTCCCAATCACCAAATCACCCCAGAAGATAAGTGATTGAGAAAAAGCAAAATAAACCAGTTTACAAAATTTCTTCCTAAAGCGATGGAGGGCAAGGAAATAATTTGCAGACTTCAGAGCTATACACAGCAAACAAGCTGATCGCAGCACATCTCCCAAGGATCAGTGCGCTGTGAAATCAAGATAAGAGCCCTTGGCTGAGTGGATAAAAAGGTTTCTGATTACAAGTGTTATGCAAACTCAATTACATTTTATTTAAACAAATTTCCGTCGGCTCCTACCGTCAAAGCATAATGAATTAAAGGAGAGATGTGACCTTATGGTTTTTTTTACCCCTGAAAATTATAGCCACATTTGTGCTTGTCAAATTCATAGTAGGACTAGTGGGTTGTTAACTGTGAGCATAGTTCCCACCGGATTATCTCACTTAAGGAATTCCTTAGGATAATAAATAAACAACGAATGCTGTTTCAATTCTGGCTTTCTTATTGCTACTTTAGTAACTGATGCACATCAAAATGATATTAAGACTATTGCTATTGCATAAATGTCATGAAAAGGATGATAAGAATATGTGCCATGTTCCATAATTGATTTTTCAGGGTTGATATCATAAGTTGGGCAGAGTTTTCACATGTGTGATAGCTAATAAATAAACTGCTTACCACGGACACCTGTTGGAAGCCTTGCATCTCTGGCTTTAGTGTGAGCGAGCATCGGTGTCCTCCACAACATGGGACTTTGGCAGAAGTGGCTGCTGACCTTCCTGCATCATGGCGACCTGTCTTCCTTGTGGTCTGCCTATTACACACTCATTGCTTCGCAGAGGAGTCAAAGCCTGCGATTTCTCCGCTTTTCTAGGATGGCAATTTATAAAGGTTCATACGCTGACCTTGAGGGAGTAGCCTAGCTGATCTCTCTCTCAGCAGCTGTCTGGAACACCTTAGCACACAGATACAAGGGCAAAAGCCTAAGTAGAAGCTGTCTCAATGAAGAACAATTAACTCTCTTGTGCATTCATTAAGGTCATGAAAAAAAAATCTTTTCCCAACATGCAATGAGAACAGCTATCTCTTTTGGGACACTTGTTAGTGAATTTCAGTCCTAAATGTACTGTTAGATTTGTGTTGGCTAAAGCCTGAAGACCTGTCTGTCCTCCTTCCCAGTGGCCATGCAAGCATGTCGGCTTATTTGATTGGATTCTCCACTGTACAAATGACTAGTAATCATGGCCAAGAGATTCAGAGCTAGACTTCCTGCTATGAGCCCTGTCAGTTGGGTCTGTATATGAGCCATGGTTCCAACAGCATAGCTGCTTTCTTAGCTGTTAGTTAATCCTAGCAGGGCTACATTTTGGGTGGGAGGCTTCTTTCTGTTCCTTCTCAGCAACGCCTTATACCTTATGCCAATTCTTTGTCTTTTTATTGTTCATAAAATGGTATTGACACCGTTTGCTCTTGTGAAGTTTAAAGGGAAGGAATCACGGCCATCAAATGGCTCTATAGGACACAAATGGGGAGAGAGCTGTGAGTCTGAAAACATTACAATGCTTTATTGTAGCACTTTTGAATTAAAATATTAGCCAGAGCTGAATGTTCGTGCAAATCTATCTTCATTGTCGACTTGATTGGATTTGGACTCACCTAGGGGACACACCTCTGAGCCTGTGTGTGAGACAGTTTCCAGAGAGGCTTAATGGAGGGCCACACCATGCCAAGGACCCCTTTGTGTGACACTGTTCCTGACAATAGACAGAAGTCTAATGTGGTGAACCAATGAAGTTTTTAGGTGGGGCAGGAGGGTTATTTACAACAATATGGCTGAGGAGCTAGTTACCACAACAGAAACTATTCAAAGACAGCTGCATCACCGAAGTCCACCCGGCATGGGTGACAACTCATGGAAGCTGGAAAATTAGAAAGCACCGCATCACACACAGGCAGATCAGCGGGCTAGGAAGTGTGCTGGATAGGGTTGTTTATTTGTTTTTGTTTGCATGAACTTGGCACAATCTAGAGTCATCTGGGAAGAGGGAACCCCGACTAAGAAAATGCGTCTATCAGCTGGCCTGTAGGCATGTCTGTGGGACATTTTCTCGATTAATGATTAGTGTGGGAGGGCCCAGCCTACCAGGAATGGGTGGGTGGTCCTGAGCTGTATAAGAAAGCAAATGGAGCAAACCATGAGAAGCAAGCTAGTTAACAGTGGTCTTTAATGGTCTCTCCTTCAGTTCCTGCCTTGACTTCCCTTCATAGGAGACTATGATTGGAACATGTAAGACAAATAAACTCCTTCCTCCCCAAGTTGCATTTGATCGTGGTGACTTACCATAGCAATAGGAAGCAAACCCGGACAGAGGACATCTTTTTCAGGCATCTCATGTCATCTGAGCCTCTTCTAAGCAGCTTGGCTGACGTCTGCTTCTGTCTGGGACTCTCTGGAAACACTCTCAGAAGTCTTTACAGGTTATGTATTCTCAGAGAGGGGGGGGGCCTTGTGAATCTGGTCTGTTTCAGGGACATCCTGAAGTTATTACATTGATCATTTTCTGAACTAAAGAAACTTCTTGCAGAACGGAATGTTTCACTTCCCTTTCGAACAACCTGTTTTAATGAGTTTCCCTCCACGTGGAGGTTGATTTCAAAGGAAATTGCTGCCCAATAACTGGGAACCCAGACTGAACAAAAAAGGGAAAAGGAGAGAGGAAACCAAATATCAACACTGAGTATCAGTCTCTGCTTCTAGACTATTGCAAAATAACTAGCTGCCCCACGCTTCTGTTGCTATAACTTCCATGGCTTAATGGGCTGTGTCCCACAAATTTGAACCAAAAATAAACATGGGCTTCACTAAGGTGCTTGTTTAGGGATTTTTTTCAAAGTATAATAATTATTACAATCTCTAAAGCTCACAAAGTCTTGAATACGGAGCTTTTTCACATGTGAAAGAGAAGCACGAAAATGGCCCCCACTAAACACCTTGATAACGGCAAATGGAAGCAGCTACCATTACTTGCTACAATGGCAATGGTAACCTTTCACACACACACGCTCACATACACTCACAGACACACACACACACACACTCACATATGCTCACATGCAAAGGAAGGGAGGGAGAGATAGACAGAGACAGAGACAGGCAGACAGAAAGACAGAGAGAAAGAAAGAAAGAAAGAAAGAAAGAAAGAAAGAAAGAAAGAATGAATTTAGGAAGCAATTTGGTAGTCATTTGAAATATTGAGTACAAGGCTATCACATGATCTGGCTCTCCCCTTCCTATGTACAAAAGCAAACCCACTCAAGCTTGAGCAGAAATAATCTGAACATTGCTATTCATGACAGGAAGCAAGTGGGAAGAATTCAAATGCCAGTTAACTGACTAATGGAACAATGTTCTATTGCTATATGATAGATTATGGTTTGACTTAAAAAGGAATGAAGTTCTGATACACATTACAACATGGGTAAAGACTGAGCACATAGTGCCACAGGTAAAAAGTCAGACAGAAAATGCCATATATTATATATTTGCATTTACATTAAATGCCCAGGATAGGCAAATTCAAAACGACATAAAATAGATTAGCAGTTTCTCAGAGATGAAGGATTTGGGAAACATAAGTAATGACTAATGGATAAGGGCCTTTGGGATCCCGTGTTGAAAGCACTCCAAAACACTGTTGCGTTGGCGATCCCAGGGCACACGAGTTCAGCGTGTAGAATGGGACTCCGGGGAGGGGACAGAACAGCTGTGAATAAGGCCTAAGTGAAGAAAGCACTGTAAAACTACATCTGGATCGCTCATCTTCTCCCATAACTAACAATATTCTCAGAAAACGGTATTATGTGACCAGAAAAAACATGTTTTCTAGTAAGCTTCCTTGGGGCACCCATGACCTCTTTGTTTTGCAGGCTGTAGATGATGGGGTTCAACATGGGGGTCACAACACAGAAGAGAACAAACACTAAGATGTCCATGTCCAGGGAGTAGCCTTCCCTGGGTCTGTCATAGTTGAAGTTGGCTGTTCCATAAAAGACCACCACCACGGTGAGGTGGGAAGCACAGGTGGAGAAGGCCTTTCTTCGGCTCTGAGCAGAGGGAATCCTAAGGATGGCGGAGATGATGAATATGTAGGAGCCTGCAGTGAACAGGCAGGGGCTCAGGCCAATGGTGGCACTGGCCACGTGGAGCACAGACTCATTGACAGAGGTGTCTGAGCAGGAGAGCTTCAGGAGCAGCGGGATGTCGCAGAGAAAGTGGCTGATCTGGTTGGGTCCACACAGGGTGAGTGTGGCTGCCAGTGCTGTGTGAGTCACGGAATTCACCCAGCCACAGAGCCACGAGCCGGCCACCAAGCAGACACAGACCTTCGCACTCATGAGAAGTGGATTCTGAAGAATGGTCACATAGCTGTCATAAGCCATGGATGCCAACAGATGCTCATTGGTTGCTTCTGTCATAAGCAAAAAGATGTAGGAGATGAGATCTTCTTAGGACAAGGTCTTCTTTTTCTAGCATACCTTGACTATGGTATAGCGCATGTCTAAGAAATTCAAGTTATGGGTGAAACAACACAATGTAACGTGGAGGGAAAGACTGATCGACTACAGACACATTTTCCAGAAAATTTGCCAGTTAAACAAACGAAGACCACCAAGACCAGGAAAAATGGCCCCTGCACTTCAAGATGGCAGAAAATTATATAAGCTTAATTTAGCCATTGTTGTTTGGATCTCCATTTATGTAAATTCTGTCTCAATTCAAGTTGTAACTTGGAAGCAAAGATTTAGAATAGTAAGATGTAGTGGCAAACACTGGAGGAGTCCTAGATACTGCAGATTGACCTTGAGAACAGGCTCTTTCCCGTGGGGTCTTCTTTATTTTCCCGGTCCATGTTCTTAACAGTCCATGAGCACAAAGGGGCAGAAGCGATGACAGATATCCTTGAAAGGCCTGTGAGCACAACAGAGGTAGCCTTCTGGGGTAAAACTTCAGTGAATCAGCTCAGTTTTATTCCAGAATACGGGGAATATATAGGATTGGGAAGCGTGGGGACGAAGCCTAATTTGCGTTAAATGGCACGCTCCTATCATAAGGCTTCTGATGTGGCAGCAGGGTCTATACTATAGCAAAGCTCCTAGTACAAATCTTAGTTCCCTGCCACAGCGGGAAAGGCTTCTAGCAGGAAACTGTGCCAAGGGTCATGCTAGAGATAAACCAGGCATCCAATCTTAGAGACAGCTTTCAGATTCAGTCCTTTTCGCCCAGAGAAGTTCTTCCGACAAGGGCAGGTAGAGGGCAGGAAGTCTTGCTGGGGATGGAGTCCACCATGTTGCTGAGCTTTGGAGAGAGCTGTCAGGCCAAGATAGACTACAACCTCTGACCAGTAAGATCTCCCAACACATTCCCGGATTCCCTAGCTCTGGATTTATTCTTGTATATGTTATCACTGTCTATTAGCTTTTTTGAGGGGATTTTCTATAAGTATCTAAATTCTACTAGGTAAAGAATTTTTAAAAGAAAGATTTATTTAAGAATTTTTTAATTTTACATACTAGCCCCAGTTCCCCTTCTTTCACCCCCCACTTGTCCCCATCCACTCTTCAGAGGGAGTAAGGCCACCCTTGGGAAGTCAATAAAGTCTGGTACACTAAGTTGAGGCAGGAACAAGGCTTTCCTCCCTTTATCAAGACTGAGCAAGATACCCCACCATAGGGAATGGGCTCCAAAAAGGCAGTTCATGCACCCAGGTTAAGTCCTGGTCCCACTACTAGGAGTCCCCCAAGAAATCAATAGGCAAATAATTTATATTAATTCATACATGCTGTACAAACTGGTTAAACGAAAGGAAGGAAAATAAACTCAATGGTAAGCAGGAGACCAAGTGATCAGAAGAGAAAAGGATCTTCCTTTTGTCCCACCTTTTTCTGACTGCTGCCAAAAAGTGATACCCACCATTGGGATGGAACCTCCCACATATATTAAGGTGATAAAAAAAAAAGCCTTTCAGGTGATTCTAATTTATATCAAGTTGACATAAAAACTGGAGTTATTCTTCAACTCAAATGCATTTCATCCCAATCTCCTTCCAAGAGAAAAGTCACAATACCAGTTTTTGCCTTATAGACTGTGAGATCATCTCCATGACCTCCAAATCCTGCAGAAGAGCATTTGCAGGTGTCATTAATATTATTGGTCATTGGTGCCTAGCCCAATCATCATCCAATAGGCTTCCTCTGGCAGCTGATTGGAGCAGATGCAGAGACCCACAGCCAAACATTAAGCAGAGCTTGGGGAATCCTATGGAAGGAGGGGAGGAAGGACTGTAGGTGCCAGAGAGGTCAAGGGTACCAGGAGAACATGGCCCACAGAATCAGCTAAGCAGGGTTCACAGGGGTTCACAGGAACTGAAACAGCAATCATGGAGCCTGCAGGGGTCTGCGTTAGGCCCTCTACACACATACTGTAGTTGTTTAACTTGGGGTGCTTGTGAAACTCCTAACAGTGGGAAGTGGGGTGTATTTGACTCTTTTGCCTGCTCTTGGGACCCTTTTGCTCCTACTGGGTTGCTTTATCCAGTCTGGATATAATGGGTTGTGCCTAGTCTTATTGCATCTTATTATGCCTTGTTTGGTTGATAGCCTTGGGAGGCCTATTCTTTTCTGTAGGGAAACAACAGAGGAACAGTGGATCTGGGGGTGGGGCTGAGATAAGGGGAAGAAGGAGAGGCTGAGGTTGGGATATATCGTATGAGAGAAGAATTAAAACAAAGATTATTGATCATATGACTTTAAAATACAGAGGTTATAGGCCTGGAGAGATGTCTCAGTGGTTAAGAGTGTGTACTTGAAGAGACTGCAGTTCAAACCCTAGCATTCAATCTGAGTGCCTAACAGTCACCTATAACCCTGGCTTTACACTGTGATGGGACATGTTTGTTCTCCAAGGACAAGTGTACTTGCGTGTACATACTTCTACACAAACATACACATATCTACACAATTTAAATAATAAAAAATAAAATGCAGAGATTGGTTTAGATTGTTTGAGTGTAACTGTGTTAGTTACTTTTCAGTTGCTGTGGTAACAAACGATGATCAGGAGCAACTTAGGGAAGAAAAGGCATTTTGGCTGATGTCTCCAGAGAGATAAAAGTCCACCAAGGCTGGAGACAATGTTAGGAAGCAGGCATGGCTGCCAAAGCAAGAAACTGAGGGCTTACATCCTCAATCTCCAGCAAGAAGCAGAGAGCAGATTGGAAGTGGCACAAACCTTTAAACTCTCTAGGCCCGCCCCCAGTGACATATGTCCTGCAACAAGGCTGCACTTCCTGACGTCACCAACAGCAATGGGGGCCTAGTGCCCAAATGATAGAACCTATGGGACCATTCCCCACTCAAATCACAGTGACTACTACATCAAAGGAGCATTTAAAGGCAGAGATAGTTCTCCAGAGGAAGATGAAGTCTAAGATTAAATCCACACCTTGGATTCAACATGCCATTGCTAGTTGGAAATGAAAGGGGCTAACTATTCAGGAAAAGGTAGCTTTTGTCACACAACAATGAGAAACTGAATTTTTGCCAGCTTGAAGAAACTTGGAAGTGGGATCTTCCTCAGAGAGTTTCTAAACATTCTCCTGCCCCCATTCGCTTTTTCTTTCTTCCCAGTTCTACCACTCAGAAAACAAAAAGAATATAAAAAAAAGCCAAATTTATATCATTCAATTTCCTATTTAGTAGCTCCATAAACAGGGAAAGATAAGCAGGGATCTGGAACCTTTGTGCAAATCAGTGATTTACAGCCAAAGTCATCATAGCATGTGTGTGTGTGTGTGTGTGTGTGTGTGTGTGTGTGAACATGTAAACAAGCATGTACATTGTACCAAAAATCATGAGTGGCGATCAGAGGACAGCTTCTAGGAGTCAGTTCCTTCCTTCAGCTCTGGTTTTTGGCGATGAGAGTCCGGTCCTTTGGCTTGGTGGCAAAGGCTTTACCCACTGAGCCAGCAGGCCAGCCAATACTGCCTCATTTTGAAACAAAGTTTAGTAGAATTCCAGCCACACCATTCAATAACTACATCCTCTGGCTGGTTATGTCACAATGGCAGTACTGAGCACTTAAGCAAGGGACCAAAAAGCACACAATCATCTAAAGTATTTGTATTCTCACCCTTTACAAAGAAAAGTCCCCCAAGTCTTTGCGTAGTCTTTTGCGGGAGGGTGGCGACTTTAGTAGTACTGCTTAATCTAATTTGAATTTCAAAATCTCCACTTTGTCACTTGTTAACCTTGACCTTAAGCTTTTTAATTAGCTTTGAAAGTTTGAATTTTGTCTTGTGTAAGATGAAATAATGTGAGAATTACAGAGTTTTTGTGAAAATTAAGTTAAGAAATGAATAACAGAGCAGTGAACTATTGGGAGGTGCTCACTTGGGAAACACAGATTGTCCTAGGGTTTCTATTGCTACAAGGAAAGAGCATGACCAAAAGGCAGGATGGAGAGGAAAGGGTTTACTTGGCCTACACTTCCACATCATTGTTCATCATCAAAGGAAGCCAGGATACGAACTCAAGCAGGGCAGGTACCTGGAGGCAGGAGCTGATGCAGAGGCTACAGAGAGGTGCTGTTTACTGGCTTGCTCCACATGGCTTGCTCAGCCTGCTTTCTTAAGGAATCCGGGACTAGCAGCCCAGGAGTGGCCCTCCCCCATCAATCACTACTTAAGAAAATGCCTTTCAGACAGATCTTAAGGAGTCATCTTCTCAATTGAGGTTCCGTCCTTTCGATAACTCTAGCCCGTGTCAGGTTGACATAAAACTAGCCAGCACGCATACTGTCTCCCTGTTCTGCCCATTATCCACTCTAAGCTTCCTGTGAGATATTCCTTCTCCAGCTTAAATCATTACTACTTCTTTCACCCCTTCCAGCTCCACCCAGAAGCAATAGTACATAATTAAATCCACACATTTTTCCTTTTCATAAAACAAATATTCATGAACAACCCCTACCTTTCGTCTTGTGTCATGGTTACGCATTCTGAGCATATTGTTATATGATTCCAGTGAGGAAGGAAGGTAGATTTCATCACTGACGTGTTTTTAGTAATATGATTTCCTCTAAAAAAAAATGGAAATATGACTCTGCAAGTCATGCTATAAAATGTTTAATAAAATTAGGGCGCGTGCCTCTACAATTCCTCTCACAACATGCTCTCTCAGTTGGAAGCCTGAGATTGACATTTTCTGGCTCATTTCTCTCTTCCCCTGCCTGTGTCTAAATCCTCAGCAAATGTTGTTGATTCGCCCTTTCAAATATACTTCAATTTATGAGTTTATTTCTATTCCTGTGATCAAACATAAATAGCATTTACAGCCTAGATCCTTTTCCTTCTTCAAGTCTCAGCTTGAATATCACTTTTTGGGGATTTTAAAGTTGTATTACGTAGGGTCACGTGAGGTCACATCCATGCAAGTGTACAATGTAGTGGAAACGTTCCCCATCCCCCGAT